GCGTACGTACAAATTGTTCTTTACAGAAGGGAATGTTTAACGTTAAATTTTCTACGTATCATATTGCTTTCTTTAAGGGGTAAGTTCTGGTAGATGAAATAAATACTAAATTTATCACAAACGAATATTGTATTATAATTACGAGAATGTTTTAATGAATCTTAACATTAAAAAAAAAATCATTTATTAACTATGAATTCGTAGAGCATTAATTTTTTTTTGAGAAATTTACTATTAAATATTTAGAAAATGTAAACTTTGGTCTATTGATAAGAGAGAAAACCCGTACAATATATCTAATGACAAACGGGTAAAGACTCTGATAAATTAAAGTAATCGTTATTAACGTATGATCTCTACATTAATGAGGTTTATTTTCAATGACAACACCAAGTTCATTTAACAAAATGAATCCAGACTTCATCATTTAGACTTTTATTATAATAACAATAAAAGTAAAAAACATAAAAAGAATAATTGTCATTGACAATTTCAAGTCACAGTATGATACCCCACAAATATTACAACTTCAGTGTTAGCGTAAATAAAAATAAGATTTTGTTTTACGTTTTGTACATACTTGTAACACATTCTCAATAACAAGATTATTCTCAATAATCAGACTATTTTCTAAATAAGGAAGATAAAACCCGAAAAATTTTGAGACTATGACATCATTGCAATGTGAACTGATATATTAAATACTTCGGCTGCTTCCCTTGTTTCCCAGCAATTCAAAAGTGGTTTTCAAACAAAAATTTAAAGAAAAATTTAATACGATGGCTTTAAAAATATTAATGGGTGATGTGCCCGAATTAATGGAGGTCATTTTCAATAATTTAAATGACAACCATTATTCATTATATTCATGTGCGTTAGTAAATCGACATTGGTGCAAAATATCGACTCCTATTCTTTGGCAAAATCCGTTCTTATTCGATCAAAAACCAACTTTCATATCCAGATACTTTTCACATCTTGACGAAAATGAAAAACTTGTTTTAAAAGAATACGGGTTAACTATTGATTTTCCCAATACTATGTTTCATTATGCAAAATTTTTAAAGGTTTTGGATTTATTTTCTTTAGAGAGCAAAGTTAATGAATGGATTAATTTACGATTTAATAACTCATTTGGATGTACCAATCGATTAAAAGATAATTTAGCAAACTTATTATTTAAATTATTTATTGAGAGTGGCGCAACTTTATCCACATTAGATTTATATATTTCTAGGTTTATTTTAAAACCAGAAGTTATTTTCTCATTAAGGAAAAATGGCCAATTTTTCTCTCAACTCCAAAATATATCTATTATAACAGTACCTGACATGCTCAGCATCGAAGAGACTCATGAATTATTAAAAATTTTGGCTACAAACGCTACTAAAATCAATAATTTAGAAATTACAAATGTATATGAATCACGATTTTGTCATGAATTGGCAAATTTAATTCGATCACAAAAGCAGCTTAAGCAATTCAATTTGAGCAGTAGAGAGAAATTACAAACTGAATTCTATGGTATTATTTCAGCTTTAGAAAGCCAAAAGAAATCTTTACAAGAAGTTAGAATACTTAATTGCGCTTATAGTACTGAATTTGAAGGTTCTATTAATTATGAAAGTTTAGAAACTCTTCGTATAGTATGCTGGGAAGAACAGCAACTATTAAAAATGTTGAATACTGATTTTAGTAAAATTAGTAGTTTAGAAATATGTTGTTCTCCTATTGATACAGCAAATGTATCTCAAATTTTGAAAAAAGCCGGCCCATTATTACAACAACTAAAACTAGACTCAATGAATGAAGGAATTTGCTTACAATCATTATTATTGGAAACTATAATGACCTTTTGTCCAAATATTATTTATCTCAACATTTCATTTATTGAGTTTTCCACTCAACTCTTAAAACTTATTGATAGCTTACAAAGACTTCAATTTCTCTCCTTGTCTCTGACTGATCGTGAACCAGAAGAAGTAGTAATAACACATGTCATACAATTGGCTAAAATATTACCATTAACATTACAATATCTTGATTGGGAAATTCTTCAATCAGATTCGTATATAGATATTTTGCTCAATCATTGTGATGCTCCTTTAAAAAGATTAATAATTTACGGTGACTGTGATGCTGAGAAAACAATTAATGCGTTAATAGGATTTTGTGAACGAAAAAGGACTTTAAATTATTTAAATTGTAATAGAAGTTATGATTTTGATGACGATAATTGGAATATCCTTAAGAAAAATTTAGAAGGGTATGCTAAATTGATGCCATATGATTCCATTGTTGTAGATATATAAATATAAATCTTATCGTTTATATTATAAAATTTTAAATATTTGTAATAGTTTAAATTTTACTGACTGTTATAGTCTAAAATTTACCAAGTTTATATGTTTATTTTGTTTTATATGTTTTATATTGAATAAAAATTTAACGCAAACTAATAGAGTTAAACAATTTATTTTAAATCATTTTTATATATACTTGTGACTCTAAAACTCTTTTTTTTTGTTTGAAAAAATTCTGTTTTTCAAAATTTAATTTTTGGAATATTCAAATTCTGGCTTAGAAAACTGAAAGTTGAAATTGTAATTCCTTCATGTCATAAGTATTGATATATATAATTCATAAACTTTCTATTCACAAAATTTGGGAGCGCGTTAGCAGACGTAACCAAAAATGGCCAATAAGTGTTTTAATTCCAGATATCTTACATTGATAATAACTGTGTACACAAATATTAACTCAGCAAAACTATCTCATCATGTTCTTATGCAATTAACACTTTTACTTCTTAAAAACACAACAACTCTTTCTTCCTGAATAACCAAATTAAAGTTAACTAGACATTTTTTTAAAGTTTAAGTTCAAGCATAAATAATACTAGTTGTAGATCTATATAATACAGTTAAAAAAATCTGTACCCATTTTATAATGATAAAATTAATATCAAAAAAGTATACATGCTTATGATTGACTAGAGATTACTGTTATTAGGCAAAATTATTTTTTGGAAAATGGCAAAAGACGGAGCTGGTAAACACTAAAACTCTGGCGAAAGGTGAAACTCCAGTGAAAGTCATTTTACCAGGCTAATCAAATTGCACGATTCAAAGACCTCAAATTTCAAACTGAAATAATTCAATTATGCCTATTAAGCCAACTTTCATATCTTAACAAGAAATATTTTTCTTACATAAGTTTACCAGTCCTACTGAAAAATCAATTAAAATTAATTTTTGTTATACGTCATACAATTAAAATAATCATAAAGACCTGTGGGTCGATAGCGCAGTGGTTAGCGATCCTGGGTCTCAATCGCAAGGTTGCTAATTCAAGTTCGAAAGGCGACAACAATTCTGCCAGGATCACGATTGGAAAAAAGATCTGCAGAAGACCGAAATACGTATATGGATGATCTTGCTGGTGGGTCATGTAAAATTAGGGAACTGCAGACCGAAAAGTATAGTAGGTCCTACACCATGAGATCAGGGACTCGGGACGTCATATGGCGGACCTGATGAAACATGAGTTATCTCACGAGTTCGGTGACATATAGGGGCCACACGCCATCCGATGATCTTTGCAGAATGATAACTCTGACCTTTAAGAGATGTGACAAATTCTAAAGGTGTCTAAGGACCTTCAGGATAGCAAAAGGAGGTAAAAAAAATATATATATAATAATCATAAAAATAGAATAAAAAAAACTATATCATGAGAAAAGCTAGTAAGAAAACAAAAAAGAGAAATTTAGAAATAAAAAAAATATATGATCTTCTAAGCTAGTCTAGTACAACTTTTGAGTCTGAACATATCCCAACCAGTATGATTCTGAGCGTTTGTTAAAATAACTAAAAAATGGTGTACCAGAAATTTAAGTTTAGATGTACACATTAGTATATACAAATCCTAATAAAGATTTTACAGCAAGACTATCAAGGAATTAATATATATATATATATATATATAAACTATTATAATAAATTTTTTAGTACTAAACAAATTTATTAAAATATAGAATTTTCTATATTTTTATTAATAAAAATACAGAAAATTCTATATCATGAAAGAAATATACTAATATAATTTAATTTTCAAAAATTATATTCATAACATTGGTGTTATACGTAAATAAATTAATGCCAAACTTGATAGCTAGGGCTGTTAATCGATCCGGTCTGAACCGACGGTCCATCCAAGGATCAAGCCAGTCCAGTCCTCTTTAGGACGGATCGAGAGGACTATCAGTCCTAATAGTAAGTAAGGATGAGCATTAGTGTAGCATCTGAGAGGACGCTGCACATAGCAAAATCTTGCAAGAAATTTTTTTGTTGCGGTGCAGAAGTTGGTTTAGGGGAAAATATCGAATTGTGGACGATTTTTTGAAAAACTCGTGAGTTCATTTTGTTTTCATGTTATGTCTGATCCTGTGTCGTGGTTTAAAATCACGAGACTGAGTACTTTTATGCGCAGTAGTTTCAAGCTATACAATCATGGATAAATAACACTACAAATGATGTATAGTAACTAGATGCATTCATTTAATTCAAATCGGAGTTGGGAAAGCCCTTAAATAGTCGTTCATCTTATATAATTCTTATCGGTACTATTCGGTCGGTCATGGGCTGCGATCCAATCCGATCTTTTAAACTCAATAAACATAGAAATTTATATACTGAGCGGTGCTTTGTTTTTATCGTTATTCGCTGATATATTTCTGATTACTATTTTAACTTTTATACAAGTATTATATAGGCTAGCATAAATAAAAATTTTCTTCAAATAAAAATTATATTGTTTCGTTTAACAATTTTCGTGAACTGCTTTATAGACCATCAGAAATTTCAGACAAATCTGATAATCTGTCTTTTATCTCTTTTGTGTTAATGAGCTTGCTTGCGTACATGTGATTGGGATGTTTTAATGATTCGATATTAAATTCAATTTTATCAGCTTCCAAGAATTGTTTTTTGATTTCACTATCATAATCCTGGTTCATCTCGTCAAGCCAATAACCAATTCTGTGCGTAATAACAGTTGCCATAGGCCGTTTATTCTGATCATGGTTCATGCATCTATTGGCCAATTTGACGTAACAATCAGGTGTTCTTTCATCAAATTGTGGTCTTTTTCCTCGATAAATTTTTACTGCAAGATTAATATTGAAAGATTCATCATAAAATGCACTTTTTCCAGTTGAAACTTCAGACATGATGACTCCAAAGCTGTAGATATCAGCCGCTTGCGTGAACGATTTACCCATTAAAACTTCAGGTGCTATATATGGCATAACTCCATTAATTTCTTCTTTTTGATTCATATTAGAAGATATTGTAAGTCCCAAATCTGTAATGTATGCACTATGTAAATGTTCTTGCAAGATATTTCCCGAATGTAAATCTCGATGGATCAATTCTTGAGAATGGATTGATTCAAGATCTGAAGCAATGCAATACAACAAATTCAACTTATCTTTCCATTCCATTAGTGCTACCGAACCAATATTTTTACGTAATGAGCCTTCACTCGCATATTCCAAAACGATTATATAATCTTTGGTGGTATCGTCTCTTGACATCCCATGACATCTTAAAAATGATGGATTTTCGTATCTAATCTCGCAATATTTTTTCAACTGTTATTAAAAGATTTATTTTAACAATAAAAAGTAAACGTTAATACAACAGTATTTTTTTCTTTAATTAATTCTTTGATTGTATTAATACTACCTCATTGATAAATTCTTGTTTACATTGATTTGAACCATGAATCAATTTAAGTGCAATGGGTGACCAAAAATTTGTATTTTTATTATACCAATACGCATAATATACAGTTGCGAATCCACCTTCTCCTATCTCTTGTATATCTTCAAATTCGCTATAAGGAATCCACGATAGTCGATACTTTTCATCATCTAATATTTCTTTTAAGTCATCATCAATATCCTCATATGATAATTTATTTATCTTTTTTATGCCTCTTTCTATCCGATACCAATGATTGGCTCGTTGTATATCTCTCTGTACACCAATTCCATTTCGATAACAGTTACCAACTTGTAAAATTCCTATTTCGTCACCCAACTCTGCACTTTTTCTAAAATATTCAAATGCTTTCTTTTTATCCTTCTTGACTGCTGTTCCGTCCAAATAAGAATATCCAACATTAGTCATCCCAAGAGTATTCCCCATCTCAGCTGATTTTTGAAAATAAGTGAATGCCTTATGTTCATCCTTTTCAACTCCAATTCCTTCTTCATAACAACATCCAAGATGATACATTCCTTGAGTATTCCCCATCTCCGCAGATTTTTGGTAATAAACGAATGCTTTATGCTCATCCTCTTCAACTCCAATTCCAAAATTATAACAATCTCCAATATAAAATGTTCCATCAGCATCATCCATCTCTGCGTATCTTTGATAATGAATAAACGCCTTACGTTCATCCTTTTCAGTCCATTTACCAAAACGATAGCTATTTGCAAGAATTATTTGAGTCATAGGAGTGTTTTGATTTTCTAAGCACCACTTAATAATATTATCTGGATTTTGGTTATTTTTTGCTAAAAATTGATCCATTACGTTAATTGTCTGTCCAACCATTTTGCCTTTCAATATTTCTTTATTATATAGATTATATAATTCTTTAACAATTTCACTTAACATATTCGAAGTGTTATTATCTACACAATTATAATTGTTTAAAATTATCAGTTATTTGGTTAATATCAGATGAACTGTCGATTTTTTCGGGCTGTTTTACAATTAGATTATTGACAATTTAAAACAAATTGATACTTTTTTTAAATAGAAACATCCGATTTTGTCGATTTACGCCGGAATGCTGTGAATCATTTCCAAGAAAGAAAATGATCAGATGTGAAACGGGTTATTTATTGTTATTCATTGGTTGTTCATTGGTTGTTCCTTTGCCACATTTCCTTTTCATCAAAAAATTTTGTGTACTGTATACGCAGATGATATTTAAAAAATTTATAAATACAACTCGACTTTTCCACAATTAGATGTATTTATCTTTACCGTTACATGAACTTACCAAAAATATGTATAATGATAAGGTAACTTTATTTCTGATCATTTCTACATATTGCTATATTTATTTATACGTTTGTTAAATATAGTAAAAATATGTTAATTATTATTGCTCGATCAGATGACTTTATTTAAATAAAGAAAACTTACCGTTACAGAGATTCTTTCGTTATATATTCGGTTTTTAAAAATTACATAATTGTAATCGCTAAGAAAAGTATACCAAAAACCAATCTATTTATCTTTGCATAGGGAGAAATCATATAGCTGTAATTAGAGATATGCTACGTACACGGAAATTTTGCTGATCCTTTCTATCAGCCAATCAAATCGCTAGACACGCACTTGTATGTATATATGGGCTAGGTGCTGGAAAAAGGGCCGAAAATGACAAAAAAAAAGATATTCGGAAAATCAATAAATTTTATAATGAATCTTAAGAAAATGCAAACTTTAAAGAGCTATACTGCAAAACTTTATTAATACAACTACTTTCATATCTTAAGTAAAAAATGATTCTAATTTAATTCTAAATTGATTCATATAAAAAAAAACTCTTAAAAACTTTGTCATTTTCGGCCCTTTTCCCAGCACCTAGCCCATATGTACTGTACGTACTGTACGCGAAAAAAATTCGTGTATCATATAAATGGCACATCACTAGCTGTAATTAAAGATGCCTGAGGAGTGATGAAACATTTATAATTTGACGATTGATGAAATCTTTCATCAAGCAATCTCAAACGAAAATTTTGGGTACATGACATTACTGATCATCTTCAACAAGAGTTAAATCAACAGAAAGAACCAGTGATGTTACACAAACATGTAATTATCTGCAACATGCATTTTTAAATAGATTAATATTAATTAAAATTACATATATCAAGTTCTTATTTTATTTTTGATTTTTTAATATTAAGGTGAGTACATGTGACTCAAATATTTGGTTTGCATTAGTTTGTACAATAACTACAGAGGCAATTATAAAAAAAGTGTACAACTAGTCACTTATACAACTTTAGTCATTATTTAATTTAAGTAGTTCAGTTAAAGGTTTTATACTAGTTGTCATGCTTAGAACCTATCTATATGTATTTGTTTAAAAATTCTAGTTTTTGTATCTATTTTTACCTTACCAATTGCATCTTAGTGTAAATATGTCATGGTTACTAAGTCATATTTAGTTTTGTATTAACTTATTAGAACTTTCTATATCTTATACTTATAGTTAATCTGATCTAGACCAGTATTTGCAAATAATATTAATTATTAAATTGTTATATCTTTGTAAAGTTTATTCAAACTTTGATATATATATTTCTAATATTTTTTTATTATTTCTTACTAACTATTATTTAAGACTAATGGATTCTATAAACTACTAATTCAGATAATCTAATATAGTATATTTAAATATTTTTTTCTTTAACAATTCTGGTGATTTAATTGGTTATATATTTTTTTATATATTTTGTTATTTATTTTATATTCTATTTCTTTGAAAATAATTTATAAACTTTTATTAATCTAATAGTATTATTAAAAATTTGTATTATCTCTTTATTTAGAATTTTTAAAATAAGTTTTTGTTTTCTCAATTTTTTATTCTTCTATTTCTAATAATTTTATTATAAGTTTGTATCTAAGTCTTATGCAATACTGGTTTTTATATTTTTTTATATAAATGTAATATTATATTTTGCATATATGCTCTGAGTTTTTAATATTAAATAGGATCTAATTTGGTATATCTAAAATTACAGTTATCAAAATTTAACTAATTAATAAAAAACAGTTACTATAATAAAATATAATTTTTAAAATTTATCAATTATAAAATTTGAATCTTAAATCTGTCAATTAAAAATTAACAATCTGTTTATTTTACTAAGTTGTTACATTTTTATATATCAAGTTCTTATTAATAATCATTGCTATTATAATTAGATATAAATTTAGAATAATATTATTTATTTTATTATTTTTGTTAAAAAAATATTAAATTATTTTTAGTCAAAAATTTCAAATATTATAATTAAAAAAAAATTAATAAAATTTTAGTATTTAGCATAATATAAATAACAAAAATAATGGTATAAATAATATTTTAATTAATCTTTAATATAGATAAACAAATATAATTATTATATAATTGTAATATATATAAATTAATTATTTTAAATTAGTTCAACTCTTTCTACAAATCTTTTACACAAATCTTAACTAAAAATTTATCTGTACAATAAATTTATAAATATTTATTTTACTAAGTTAGCTTATCTTAAGCTCTTAAATAAACTTGTTCAGTACTAAATTTTATATTTATTTTAAAAGTTTAAAATCTTTAGGATTTAAACTTATTGAGAAAAATATACTAATGGTTTTTAGCTTTTAGAATTTATAATTTTAACTGTTACATGAAAGTTGCTATTAAAACCTACTTTATATTCTTAAATAAACAGATAAAGTACATTTTCCTGATTAAAACAAGTTCTAAACAAAAATTTTGACCTTATATTAACTAAATTATAACCAAATTTAATTTTTACTATCTTATAAAAATTTTTTTTATTTTTTGTCTTTACTCTGGTCTGCTCATTCTTACATATTTTTTGTATAATATCAGATCAATTTTTAATTCATATTTAATTAAATTTATACTAAAGTTACTAATATATTCTTAAATAGAATCTTACTTAATATAGAATCTACTTTTTTCTATATTTGGTTCTAATTAATTTTATACAAAAGTTATATTTTGTATTAATACTACACTATACTGATGATTATTATTTAGTCATATTCACTATTCTAGTTATTAGAAATTATAAATTTGTAATACCTTATTATAGAAAATTACATAAACCTATATTAAGCTTTATCTTATACTAAAATCCTTGTATTTATTTACTATTTTTACAAAATTAAATATTTATAATTTCTTCATTTTTTTCTTATTTAACAAAATAACTAAAAAATATCTATTCTTATAACAACTGAACTAGATTCTTATAATGTGGATTATTATTACTCTAAATACAAAGACCTTCATAGACTTAGTATAAATAAGAAAACTTCTAAATTACTCTATATTCTTTTACCAGATATTAATCCTAATCAATAAAAAAGTCTTAAAAAAATCAATATTATTTTAAAGTTCTAATTCAACAAACTATTGGCATATGTTTATATGATCAATTTTATACTAATTTTATTTTTCATAATTATAAAATTATCCAATTTATAATTCTTGATCTTTCTAATATGCAAACCTTTTTACTAAATGTTTTAAAAAAATTAGTAATACTTTATTTGTATCTCTTATTATTAAATAACTTTAACTTAACTTCCTAATTTTACTATTCTCTTTCTTTTATTCAATACTAATCCTATATCAACTGCTATTATTCCTCACTCTCAACAAGTTTACATATATGTTTTATGAAATATCAAAAATCTTTCTTGTATTCTTTTTCAAGAAAATAAATACTTTTCAGACTATATTACAGTAATTTTTTTTAGAATTTGGCTTATTTATCATAGCTGTACTCACAGAATTATTGATATTAAATTATATTATCTTGCTCAAACTATACCTTTATCTCAAAAACAAAAGAAAATGATTCATATATCCAAATTTATTTTATTTAACAAAACTGAAAACATAGAACTTTTTAAAAAAATTTTATCTAAATTTTTAAAAAAAATTAATAAATCTCAATAACAAAAACATGATACTTCTCAAGATCTTAATTGTTTAATTTATTTTTAGTTACAAAATAAATAGAATCTAACTCAAAACTTAATACTCCATTCTCTTAATAATTATTTGATTTTCTTAAATCCAATTTAATTTTTTTCATATCTAAAAAAATTATTTCCTTTTGAAAATTCAAATATTAAATCTATTTTTAAATACTTTTTTTAATTATTTATTAAAAACTATAATTGAACAAAAACTCAAATTTTTAGTAGATTTAGTTTACAAATTAAATTCATCAATCAGCATTTATATTCCAATTCTTATAAGAATTTTAATTAATATTTTAAAACTTATACTTTCTAAATTTCTTACTATATTCTTTATAAACTTAATTATAAAAAAATTCTTCAATCTCATTATACTATTCTACTATATACATTTCAAAATTAACTTCAAGTTGCTATTAATCTTATATATTATTATTCTATATCTACTTCTTTTAAGATAGTAAGTAACTAGAATGATTTTAGACAGTGAACACTTTTTGTAACCTTACTTGTTACTATGTATAACTAAGTCAGAAGACTTTTTTTTTAGAAAACTTAACAAAAAAGATTTAAGTCAATTTGCAATTACAAAAGAGGCTACAATTAAAAATATATGAGGATACTAATAACTGTTTAATTTAGGTAATATAAAGTAGTAATTTATTAGTAAAAGAATATGAAGACTCAATATTGAACTTGGGGTCTATATTGATTGCTTTTATACTTTTTGGCTACATAGTATATATAACAACCTATATCTTTTACATATACAAGTTATTTTACAACTATTATTAATAAAATAAATAAGATATAAAATAGATAAAATAAATAAACTGAATAATATATATAAACTAAATATAATATAAAATATATATGCTCCAAAATATATAAATGTTATATATGTTATATGTATGTTATTTCATGCAATAATTATTCAACTAATTAGATCACAGCTTTTTTATTAATTTAGTTATTGAATTCGATCTTATGATTCTGTGATCAGAAATAGATAATCTATACCTTATTAGAACCATCTTAGTGAGCTGATTTGAATGATGATGATTTCATCGAATTCTGTCTAGTGGTTCAAGAGTTATAGTCATTTTTGTAGATTAACAGTCTTCTAAACTTATTTTCAAATTCTATGAGAACTTAGCAACAAAAGATAAGGTCAATAGAGATTAATTTTTTAAAACTTGTTAAGTTCAAGAATTTAGTCCAATAGATGGCTTTTATTCCATATTGAGAGATGATTTTATAGACCCTTATTGAGGCTATTTAATAGTTAACCTATTTGCCAATACTGTTCATTGAGCTGGAGTTTTTGGTTTGGTTTCTAAAAGTTCTCCTAAATAGTAGGCATAGATAAGAGTTTTCAAAAGATTATTATCATGGTTTCTTAGCCTAATTATATTTTTTAGAGCTTGATAGGTTAGATAAACTTTTGTTCTAGTTTTATTCTTATAGTTATAAGAAGGAAGTTCAACAATAACATCAGCTAGTTCTGTTTCAGTTAATTCCTGCAAGAATATTTCTATAACAGTTGTTATTTTAAAGATAAATAATAATAAAAAGTAAAAAAAAATTTTTTTTTTTTTTTTGAGTTAAAAATAAAAATAAGTATACTGTCTAAACTAACTTCATAGGTTTAGAAAAAAAGATAGAGTTCACAAAGAAGGTATAACAAAAGCGATAAAAAGAAAATAAATAGTTTAGTAAAAGCAATAGAGAGAAAAACATCTTAGTTAGCACTTTGAAAAGTGAAATTTTAGAAAACTTTCTGTAACCTAAAAATGTAGATCTGTAGATTACAGTAATATATGAATAAATAATAAAACAAACATGTATATCAATAAATGCACAAACAGGTCCAATTTAGACTGTAATAGACAAAAGCATAGAAAGTTTTAGAACAACAAGTAACAAATAGAAAATACAAAGAATAAACTAAATATGAACAATATATAAAATCTGAAAAAAAGCCTAATATCAATTTATATTAAAAAAGCATACTGGGCAATAAA